GTAGCCGTTTGGATCTGGGTGAGGTTGGCGTCGGGATGCATTCCGAAAACAGCCTGCATCAGGCGACTCCAAAATTCCCCTCCCCGTTCCAGTCCGTCACGAAAGTAGCGTCGCATCTGATCTTCGTCAATGGGGCTACGGGCGGTGCTGGTGGTTCTCAATTCGCCAGTGATCCTGTTGAAGGCGGAGATATAGGCCGAGTAATTTCGGCACGTGAGCTGACGGAGCCTGGCCAAAATGGCGTCCCGCGGGTTTCGTGGCTCGAAGCGCTCCCTGAGCTTCGCTTCAAACTCCTCCCGGTTTGCGGGTCTCTCGGCCAGGGTCATGGAGGAAAACCAGTCCTTGGCTGTTCCCTCAAGGGCGCGTTCCATGTAATCCACGAACGATCGCCCCGCGCGCTGGTCCTCGTTGGCGGGAGAATGGTCAAGGAAAGCATAATGCTTATCCAAGAAGTCACGGATCTTCTTGTGTGACGCAACGTCACTACCCTCTCCCGAGAACATGGCATTTTCAGCTTTGCGCTGGAGTGACTTGTTTTGCATTGAATCAAACAAGTTTCCTTGTTGGCCATTGCCATCGCGAGCGGCCACGTCAGCTTTGAGCGAAGCAATCTCCTCCGTCAAGGATGTGAGAATTGCCGTAAGCTGTTGCTTGTCCGCGACGTCAGCGATGGCTCCTCCAAGAGCGGACGCCGCGGGGGTGGCATTACCCGAGAGGGAAACACCAGTCATCCCCGTAGGTCCCTCAGAAGGCCTAACCACGTCTCTCGGGGGCTCTTCGTCGACCATCATGGGTACGACGCCTCCCGCATGGTTGTCTGTGCTGGTCGAACCAGTCTCCTGAGCATCTCTTTCTCCAGCAATGGAGGATGTCTCAGAATGCTGGCCGATCTCTCCAGCGTCAGTTTGGTCTTCACCCAGGAGAGGAGGTCCGCTCTCTATAGTACTAGAGACGGGGCCCTCTTCACTCGGCTTGCCTTTGCTTTTGGTCTTGCGCGCCACAGCCTGCTTTTGTCCAGAACCCATGTTGAACGGAACAAAGAGTAGAAAGAATTAAAAGAAGCGAAAGAGGTAGAAGCGAAAGGTCGAGTCGAAAGGGTAAACGGACGGTTTGAGGCTAGTAGGATTGCTGATGGGGTGGTGCTACCATGTAGCGTTTTCGGGTAAAAAGTGGTATGGACGGTAATGCACCTTCCCAGGGTGCGTGAGTCGGGTTGTGTATTGCTTTAGCGCAGAGTAAAGAGAAAGCGTAAAGAGTCTGAAAATGTACAGTGCAGGATGGGATATACAAAAAGAAAAACAAAACAACACGTGTGATGTGGCACGGCACTGCGCTGTTTGCGCAGTGGTGCGGACAATGCGCAGCGAACCACGAGCCCGCTGCAGTCCTCCAAGATCCACCAAGATCCATGAGGCGAACCACCGTTCCTTCCAGGAAGCTTGAAAGTACTAATCAAATAAATTTCGGCTGGATCGATGCATGCGGAGGGGAGCTTCAACTTGACAGGTGGACTGGGCGTTCCACCGCCGTTCTAGTTCCACAGTTTGTGTCGCAAATCGTAGATCCAAACCCCTCTGATCAACTCATAAAACCCTAATCCGACCTTAAAACATGCCATTATGGTCATTTATCGGCCCAAAAGGGATTAAAGCCCTGACTAGCCTATCCACTTGTGTGTGCGATCAAGTGAAGCTTCACCTTCCGTTCCAGCGTTCTATGGGTTCCGCCGGTTCCGAACCCAGAGACCCAGTCCCCCATCAAAAGAATTTGGAAGGTAGGCAGCGAACTACCGTATGGCAATATTAGTATATCAATACACAAGAAAGTCTACAGATATGAAGTAGACACGATGGCCGAGTGCTGCCCAAGCAAACCACCATATCGTTTTCTGGAGTTTGGGTGCGTGCGTGGGAAGCAGCGTGGGAAGACTGGTGGGAAGAGAGGCTTAGTCAGTGGCTGGTCAGTGCATCTGGAGTGCATTTAGCCATCCCGACGTCTCACTGAGGTTTCGATATGATACAAGGCCCAAGGATACGCTCAAAGATGACCAGACAATTTGAACGTTGTCATATAAATTGGACGCAGAAGAGTTGGGGGGCAAGAGTATATATATATACATGACATAAAACTAGTAAGTTTTTCAGAATACAGTGACAACTCGGCCCAGCGACCCCCGCTGCTTCATCCCGACTTTCGTGTCGCTCCTCTACCAGACGGGTCACAATGCCCATCTCGATGACGTCGTCCCAAAGCATGTCATCATTGTAAGCTCGAAGGATGTCGCCGCAGATCTTTTTTCGTTTCTCCATTGACGCTTTTCCCCATCTCCTCAATTGGGTATAATGAGTCCAAGGCAGTAACTCTGTTGAAACTAGGTTTCGTAGCACAACAGTCTTCAATAATCGCAGAGTGATCAGTCGGTATCTTCGCTAAGATCGGTAAAAGTCTATTCTTCAAAAGTCGGAGATCCAAAACCTAGGCAACAAATCACGTGAACATAATCTTCCTATTGCTATGCTAACGAGGATATGCCAGGTATGGGGCTAAGCCCAATACAGAGACGAATGTAAACCAAACACAGAGGAAGTCTGCAAAAAAATGGCAGAGGTTTCATATACAGAATGCCCCTGGTCATTCTCAGTGCCAATTCCATTGAGCGCTCCTCTAAAACCATGGCTGCAAATCCCCCTCCCATCTTGGGTTGGCTTTGGAAATCAAGGCTGTGTGCAATACCCGCCCAGGCGACGCCATCCCACCATGAATCCTTGCTCCCTCCATCACTCCCAAACGGCCATGCCAAAATGCCATCTGTTTTCCCACGTTCAGGCCATGCCAAGATGTAATCTGGCATTGGGACTCGGCCTATGGCCTCGAGAATTTGCCCAGAGATTTCAACTCAAGGCCCTCCATCACTTACCAACTGCCATGCCAAGATGCAATGTGTTTTCCCACGCTCATCATTACCAAACTGGGCTTTGGGACTCGGCCTACGGCCTCGAGGATTTGCCCAAATATACCAAGTCGCGGGACTCGCGGCGGGAGCAACGGTGTCCGAACAGGTCACGTGGGGCACGTGGTTCGGACGGATTCTATTTTAATGTATAGAACTATTGCTATGTTGACCCAGATTCCCACGTCCTATAGAACCACTTCTAGCAGGTTCCACAAACTCACCCTCCAATGACCGCAGTTTCAAAGCGATTCGCGTAATGCCTGTCTCGTATGCTTCATCGAAACTGTGGTCAATGTAGGACTTGTGGTAGTGAGTATTCTCCTCCACAATCTCCACTGTCAGATGGACCTTTTTCAGTTGGTTGAAGGCGGGTGCGCCACCGGGAATTTCGCTGATCAGAGCTGCCCGGTTGATGGTGACATTTTCGCTGCCGGCGAGCACTTTGAAGTCTTTGCTGATGTATTCTCTGCCCGACTTCGGTGATTTTCTTGTCGTCAGATTCACGTCGGCCCCCACAATAAGTTCGCGAAGCCTCTCCTTGCGGTCATCGTGGTATCGGATAGCCTGAAGTTTTCTTCCTTTTGTGGCTTCTTCGATGTGTTGCGTTTTCTTCGTCTGATCAACCAAATACATCGACAATGCACTCTTGCCATGTTGCCTCACTTGGCTTTGAATGCCCGCTCTCCCCTTCTCTGCAAGCTGATCCTCTCCTTACGGTCATCATGATATCGGATAGCCTGAATTTTTCTTCCCTTCTTGGCTCCTTCGATGTGTTGCTTCAATCGGCGCATCTTGACGGGAAATCCGTTGTAAGTTTGGAGCCACGAAGAAAATGCGGTCCAAGTTGCGGACCCTCCGCAGTGTGTTGCAGCCGACTCTGATGTAGTCAGTATTTGACATATCTTGCTTGGCTCTCTTAAATTTGTCTTCCAAACAACCTCCGCACATAGCATGACCCTCTTTGTTGAAGAAGAGAGTGGTGTTGTTGATGGCAATTTGCAGCGAGCCTTGACATGATGTCGTCGTCAGCTGGTTTGATTGTGGAACAAATGTTCCGTCAGCAAACAGCCTGCCTTCGATCCCCCTCGTCAGTATCCAAAGTTTGGATCTTCAAATCCATATCTTCAATTCCAAGGACCCACATTCCTCCGTGGCATCCCGTTCCGGATCCTGCGTACCTGTCATCATCCACCGTGAAGACATGCACGCCAAAGTTTTTGTAGCCCGGTGTATAGGATCTTCGGTCTGTGCGTGCCATCCAGTCGCACTTCATCTGACGTGGTAGGGCTTTGTCCAAGTACATTGCCAACTCCACAGCATTGGCAGAAGGGGTCGTGCCTGAAAACGGATGGGGCAAAAGTCTTGCTTGAGTGCATACCCGGGAGTCCCAATTGGCCTATGGGTCGGCGGTTGATGAGTCGTCTTCGAGAAAACTTGATGGAATTGGATAGCCAAAGCATCCTTCCCAACGGCAGGTTTGCCCTCAAGTCTCCCCCACTATGGTAGTAACTCCAGGCAATGGTGTCGCTCAGTCCTCAAAAATCCCTGGCAGTCCAACAGCCCAACCCCAAGCTGTCCTTGCAAGCGCTGAGGGTCCGGTTGAGGTGAAACCGTTGAGATGGTCCCGTCACTCTGTTGCTTCCCGGTCCTGTGAAGACATACACGCCAAACTTGTTATCGAGAAGTATGAGGTGGATTGTGGCATAATGTTGCCCCGCCTCCAAGGTCCACGAGGCTCCTCCACTGATTCCGGCTGGCGGGGAGGGTATTCTGGGAATGCCAGGACAATGCACACGACCCCCCATATATATATATGTGCGTCGCCAGATTGACAGGTGGCTTGGCCCACAGCAAATTTCGGGCTCGTCATTCGCCAGCAGCTGCATTTGCAAAAGCTCCAAGGCAGTCCAGACTAGCAAATATGATAGCAAATCGATGGTTCCGGTCGCTGCGACGGATTCACCCTTTATGGTCGAGAACAGACGCGAATCGCGTCAAACCAACGACGAAAGTGAGTTCCCAAAAAATTAAAAGTGAAAAAATACAGCGACACGAGCAGGATTTGAACCTGCGCGGGCGAAGCCCACCAGATTTCGAATCTGGCGCATTAGACCACTCTGCCATCGTGCCTCCTTCATGAATCGTTCTTTTGAGCATGAGTGATATACGCTCGAAACAATACGGTGGTTTGCTCCGGCCATCGTGCCTCCTCATCAATCCGTTTAAAATGATACGGCGATTTACTCAGGAAGCCTCTGCCATCATGCCCTGTTCATGAATTCTTGTTTTGAACATGAGTGATATAAGTTCAAAATATACGGTGGTTTGCTCGGGCAGCACTCGGCCATCGTGTCCTTGAATTGTTGTTTTGGGCATGAGTGATATCCGTCTGATATCCGTCACTCATCGAGCGTTGCTTGTGATTGTCTGTTCTAGAGCAAATTGATATCGGTCAAAAACCATACGGTGGACCCTGGTGCACCGCCGTCCACTCCATCCTCGGTGGTAAAGAAGTGAAGGCCCCCTGAAGGGGGTGCGAGGAAGACCTCGACATATACACAGTACACTTGCCGACAAACAAAGCCATCCTGAAACTGGGGATTCATAACCCAGCGAAACGCGAAATTTGACCGCGCAGAGAACGATGAGCGTGTCAGCTCTTTAACTCCATTTAGGCGGTTTAATTGCCTTAACGGGACGCGTTCGGCCCGGATTGGGACTTCATGAGCGGATCAGAGGGGTCAGGCCGATTATGTGATTATCATGACTGAACCTTGAATCTCGGTCGGTCGGTGTCTTTGACTCAAGGAAGATGAAGGAAGGGAGAGAGCCAGCAACAATGGGTGGGACGTTCCTGTCCTAGGACTGTCCTAGTGGCAAAGTTACGCAAAATTCGGCACCTGGCAAAGTCATGTAGTGACCGACGGACGCGTCGCGGGCACTCCGCGGCGACGGGACGCGCAATGCATCACAATTCCAAAAACAAACTTCCATCGAGGAATCCCAAAATTTGCAGAGAGAAAGACTATACTTTATGGCAAAGAGTAGAAAGGAAACCGGAGAAAATGTGAGAAAGAGAAGGAAACTACACTACAAACTACTATTAAGGAGCTAAACTAAAAAGATAAATAAACTAGGACTTGCTGAAGGAATCTGCGCCAGAGTTAAGACGACTTGGCGGAAGAAGCAGGGCCAAACAGACTCAGAATGTTACCATCCTTCGCGGTCACTCTTTTCTCGCACCGGAGTTCTTTCCCATCACACGTTCTTTTGTTGGAACTGCAGTATGGGCATTGTCGTTCACAGCCTTTTTGCGCACCATTGCATATCTTGCCTTTCGCCTTGCACGAATTGCACCGCAAGGCGACCTTTCTCTTCTTCTTTGGTGGCTCTAGAAACAGCAAGTTTATATACCATTTAACGATCGGAGGCTAAATTCTTGTTCTTACCTAACCGTAAGTTTGATGAAGGAACCGACGCCGAGGGACGAAGGGATGAGGCGGGCGCAGGGGACAATGTTGAAGGAGAGCCAGACGCGGCGGGTGTGGAGGATTCTGTCGGGAGGATTGTGGAAGCCGAGGCTGCTGTGGCGGTTATTACGGAAGAAGCAGGAGGTGGTGCCAACGCGGGGGGTTTGGCTTTATCCCCAAAAAGTTTTGTGACTCTTCGATACACCCTTTTCTTGAAAGCTTCCAACTCAAGCGATTCATACTCCAAGGGGTACCATTTCTTGGCATTGGCGCAAGGCTTCGCCCATTCCCACCGACGGCCGCTTTGCTGATAGCGCACAGCGAACCAATCGACGATGTTATCTTTGCTGGCGGGAGGGTTTTCTTCGTTGTCATTCTCGATCACCGTTAACTAACAAGGTGTCAGGAAAAGCGACAAATATCGATATACTGCGAAGAAAACTTACCGCTTCGATCGCTGCCTCCGCGTCATCTTTCTGTTTTCTCAACGCTTCCCATCGCTTTTCCAACGTTTTTGGGAGCCGGTATTGGAGATCTTGTGTTAGGAGCGACATCAGCTCCATCAGTGATAGGAACTTCTGTTTTGGGTACGTGAGGGCCGACTTGTGGATCGCCTCAAAGATATCATGCGCTATGGAGCTCTCCAAATTGTCAAATGGTGCGTTGGTGGGGGCTCTCGGGCGAATTAGAACGATAACTTGCGGGGTGTATTTTTCAGTCTCGCTCTGACTTCTCAATTTCTGCCGGACCTCGGTGACCTCTGCGGCCGTAAGCCCATGCTCCAATGCTGCCTCAAATGGTGTTTGGTCCACAAAGATGCTGGAGTCAATGAGAGCCACGTACGCCTTGACGCGTTGTTCGATCGCAGCAAACGATTTGAACCCCAGTATACGCCCATGATCCTTGACGTCCTTCACCATGTCTTGGAATTGCGTGACGGCTGCGTTGTACAAGAGCATGGCTACAAGCGGGCAGTACTGGTCTTTGACATTGGCCTTCCAAGCGATCCCTTCCATCTGCGTCAAGACTTTGCGCAGCAAGATATACTCATCCTTGCTGAATGTGCTACGCGACACATCTAGGAAGTTCATACCCAAACAGTTGAGAAATTCGGCGGACGTGAGCCTTCTGCCTGGGCGGAGAACAGCAGGTGAGGCAGCCATGAGGAATTGCTTTAAGGGGCCAGCTCTAACTTCCTTCTTTTGCATACCCTTGAGCGACAGCTGCTGGAGATCCGAGGCTCCGATAGGGTCCTCTGGTAAACCCTCCTCGTTGAGTCGAAAAAATACTTTCCAGTACGACACTTTTGGCTGCAGGACGGCAGTGGGTTGGAGATTTTTTAGTCCCATGCCTTGCTTTAAGCGACGGATGATTTGCAAGGCATACTCTGTCGTATCCGGAATATCTGGGATGTACTCACGCGTCACCAACGTGTGCCGCAGGAGAGTGAGAATATCGAAATTGTGGATGGATGGGATTCGGCCAAATTTGATTCCGCAGTCGTGGTTGCGCTTGAAATAAGTGGTAAGAAATCGACACGCAATACCTCAAACTGAATTGAAGCGCCTACCTTGATTACGAAAAAACTCAAAAGCCTGAGAGCTAGCTCAGGACCCATCTGGCGGTTGCTGAGCTTCTTGAGCAGGGCGTTGGTGCTTTCTACTCCACTGGTATGGAGGAGTTTAACCTTCTCGTTGTTTTCTTCGTAGGTGTTGGAGCCATTCATGTACAGGCAGCCATCCCGAATCAGCTGGGCATTTGCCTCCACCGTGCCGTTCCACTTTTCCAAAGAGGCCGCACTAATACTGTTGTTGCGGTCCACACTTCGGCATGCTGTCTCGAAAGCAACAGCTGCTTCTTCGGGTGGTCTGAGGTCTTTTGACTCTGTGTATAGTGCCGCCTTCAGGGCGCCTGCCACGCGCGCCCGTTCAGGCTTGTCAGATATCTTAGATAGAATCCTATTAAAACAATGCAGCCGTCGTTAGCAATCGAATAATTTAGCCAAAGTTATATCGACATACCGGTTCATTAGGTGCCATGGGTCTTGCTTCACTTCTATGTGGGGATTTTTTTGGTTGACCAGGCCTTGGACGTTATGGACATTGTCGGTAATCAGCATTATCGGATGATCCGCTGATTAAAGATGCTCTCAGCACGAGTCATGTTAAAGGTGCCAATCAAGTCTTTCTCACCTGTGGGGGTCCATCCTTCTTGGTCAGCATTCGCAAGAACTTTGTCTAACGTTGGTTCTATGTGCTCATGGCTTTCACTGCCAATGAAAGCGATATGCAGAATTTGTCCGATTTCATTTTGGACTATATGAAGTCCTTTCATTGACTCGGGGGTGTTGTGTTTTCCGGTTGCTGGGTCGTACACGCGAATATGGCTGGAATATTTGTACGTGGCGTCTATGGAGATACACTTCTTTGCCCTGGACATCGACATTGTGGCTTCTGCAACATCCAGGGCACCTTCAGTGAGTGCCAGCCAACAGTCTAGAAGACCCTTGCCTTCATAGACGTCCTGCTGCGCCAAGTATTCCGTTAGTGGGCGTGAAGTTGGGCGAAGGCTCGGTTCAACCGTTGAAAACTGGGTTTCCATCCTGGCATTGAAAATGCCGCACAAGTAGGACCATCTTTCGCTTCTCGCGCGTTTCAGGGTGCGGAGATAAGGGTTTAGGCCGTTCGGACCGACGATGTTATGGTGAATGTCCACCAACAACATCCTCGATAATCCCGCCTTCAAAGTGAGACAGTAAGGGAACGCGTTGGCCAAGGCTGGGGTGATCTTCTTCATAAACGCTGTCGATACCGTGTTGAAGGGCGTCTGGGTGGTGGAGCAAGTGTAGGAGTAATAAAGAATGCGGACTCTGTAGGAGTGGTCGTCTGCAAATCTGCCGTGAGCGTCCTTCCCTGAGAGTAACAATGGGTTCAGCTCCTGTCCTCATACATATAAACGATGACCACTTACTCTTGGGAATGCAGTTGTCGCAATGGACGCAGGGAACAATTGATTTATCGAAAAAATTCTCAGGTGTCCAACGGAAAATGGGGCAATCAAAGAGAGCTGGAGTGCTGCGCAATTTGGGGTGATGCTCGGGAAGAATGAGGGAGGTTTGATGGTCAGCATCATTAAGCGCTTCCTTAAGTAGGGCTCTATGCTGCTCAGTGATCGGCTCCTTCTTTGCCTTACTTTCTTTGGGATCTTCGTCTTCAAAAGAAGCAGTGTCGGTTGGGGGTTCAAGGGGATGACCATCAAGGATGCTGAAAACATCATCCAAGTCGCCTTCTTCAAAGTCGTAGTCAGAATACTCTTCGTCACTCATTTTGTGGAGATCTAGTTTTCAAGAGGGAATCAACTCGTTCACCTCGCTTTTGTCTTAAGTCTTTGGTTTTTTTTTCCCCATAAAATTCTCGCGTTGTGCGCAGCAAGGAACTCTGCAAGAGACTGATGATTGCAAGCTTACTCGCAAAATCTCGCATAACGTGCGCAATTTCATATTTGACCTCCTTCTGAGAGTAACGGTTTCGTGATATCTGTGCTCGTCACATAACAGCTCTAAAACATATATTTTCGGCTGATACTTTTGCCTCTGATGTTCAAAATGCTTTGTGTATTTGATTCTACTCTTTTATTATGCATGTATCGTAATCAAAAAGAATAGAAACACTTGGTAGAACGAGCCCTTAAACATGAATTCACAGGAAATACATACGCAAAATTGTGGCCAAGAAGGCAAGATGCGGTACTGGATGCGGTAGGAAACTCGAAGATGCGGCGGGGTCAGTCGGGAGGTTGCGGGATTTGGGATGTCTTCATCTCCGGAAATTTCCGCGGATTTGCGGAGCTAAGCAATCCGATTTGCGGCGGGAGCGCACCCATAACCAAGCAGGATAGCGAAAACGCCTCGACGCGTTGGTTGCCATGCCAATAAGTTAAACTTTCGCGAGAAGTTTTACTCGGTTTTGGTCGCACTTTCAACCAGAGAGAAGTTCAGGAGAACCACGTCTTATTATACACTTCAATCGCGGTAAGTGGGGAAGATCAGGGGAAGATCCTCTGAAGATCCCGATCCAAGTGGAGAGTTCTTGATTAGTCTATAGACCAACGTTCATCTCAATCAGTAGCAAGACAGGATGGCCGAGCTTTGAGATGATCTTCTCTCTACATGTCAGAATGTACAGGCCACATACCGGACAAAGAAAATAATAGCTTCCCAGCAGTTCTCCAGAGTAGGTAGCATGTAATGCATCTGGCGTTCCATCTAGGTTCTGTTCACAGGAGGATCAAGACAGTCCAGTTGGCGAAGAAATTGGCAAATCACAGCTGTGTTTCGGTCGTTCTCACATGGCCCAGGGCGCAATCGGCAATAGTTGTATAAAGGATGAGACTGCTCTCAACAAGCGCTCCGGATTGAATAAAAAGCTTTATCCTCTGTCAAAAACAATAAAAAAGGAAATCTGATCTCCGCGACACGAGCAGGATTTGAACCTACGCGGGCATAGCCCACCGACATTCGAAATCGGCTCCTTGACGACTCGGACATCGTGCCTTACTTGTTGGAATTTGAGATCCAGACGTGGTCCAAGTCCTTTTCTTATTCGACTAATCCCGACTCTTCATTCAAGATTGGGATCCATTGTCAGTCGCACGCGTCTACCACCGTGGGACATTCCCTTCACCAACGTTGAATCCATACTCGCGTCCTCTCTCCATTGTAGAACAGATCGTAGGATGGTACAGTAGTTCATCATTGCACATTATGTCCTTTAGCGATGGTGGCAATTGGATGGGATGTGCTGAAATTTCTCATGCGAGTGGGGCAACTAATCAGACAGATGGGGAAGAGATAATTGGGATGGCCGTCCAATCAGTACTCGAGTATCAGAAGATGACTTTATGTCGATTTTCAACAGCTTTGAGGATCCGATTCACCGGGGATTGCTCGCCCTAAAACAGTTCGCGATTGAAGACCAAACGAAAGGTGCTTTTCAACTCGCGGCGGTTTTGTCGCAAGACCTTGAGATGTTCGCCGCGCGGTTTGTTTCTCTTCTGGACGATGGGGCCAAGGCGTATCTCAGGGCGGGATGCATCAACGAGGCCGACCATCTCCGGCAGATCCAACCCGGCGACACCAAATATGGTGTATACGTCGTGACCGTGGATCACTGCGCGTATGCCGGGTCAGGAACGGGAGACAATGGAGGGATGTGGGCTCGTGCCCGGGACCACCTCAACCCCGGCTACCGACAGCAGCTCGCCCAAGCCCGATACCGGCGGTATCGTGTCATAACCCCTGACAGCACGGTAGCCGTCTACATCGTCTTGCTTACTGATGCATTGAGCGCAGAGGAGGTGGTGGCCTTTGAGTACTTGGTGCAGGTTCTTGGGAAGTTTTATCGCAACAGGACCCTCGAGACATGCAAGAACCGACTGGGGTTGGGCCGTTCGGTCATCGGGGACTACCGGGGCCTAAACGACACGATTGCGTTGGGATACTTTGGCACCCGCGATCAGCTTGCCCAATGGGGCAGGGCTGGGGTGCAATCCCAACGGCAACAGAATGGCGTGGATGCCCTGACGGGGTGGTGGGTCGATGAGGACAATCAAGACCGGCAAGTCGAGATGACCAAGCGAGGACGGAAGACTTCGGCAGTCAAAAACCACGCGAACCTTAAGAGCAAACTTCACAGATACCTTGAGGGATGTGAGGTAAGGCTCACTACGCGACGGTCGCCCAAGGCAAGCAAGGTCTACGTCAGCCAAGACCTCAGTATCCTCGGCCGCGAAGTCGTCACCCTCGACCGTGCCGGCTTGGCAAGCATCATCGGCGGGACCGCATTCGACGAGCTCCAGAAGGTCCACTTGACCGTGGAGGTTGCCGACCCGAACACCCACCATCCCAACTCGTATCTACCCCACGAACTCGACCGCGAGCATCAGACAGGCATCACGAGAATCGCATTCAAGCTCCGGTCGGCGGACAGCGACGTTCCATGGACGTTTTATAACCGACTCTCGACAAAGGGAAAGGGCTCGGGAAAGGGGATGGAGAAACGCAAAGTTATCTGCGAAAAAATCCTCCGAGCCTACAACGACGATGACTTGGTTTGGGACGAGGAGATCGAGACGGAGAGGGCGACGAGTCTGGTGCAGCGGCGTCGCGCAAATCTGGATGGAGGAGCGGGGGTGGCGGGTCCGAGTGGCCACTGACCTGGAGAGGATATATATCATTGTATTGTATTTAAGGAGGTTCAAATATACACACTTGCCTCCCAACTTTACTCTTCTTTGTCCATTTTGCGTTTATAGGAATGTTGTAAAGTCGATATCGTAAAATTGGGCGTATCTTTGGGCCTTGTGTCGTATCGAAATCGTCAGATGTTTCCTGTACGGGGCCAAGAACATTTCTTTTGTCGAAAGATTTATATGCAGAGCGTCCTGCTTGGTTGAATATGCTTGATTGAGACATCGATGAGATCCAACCAGGGATCGTCGGGTATTTTAAGCCCATTGTAGACGATGTCGTTTCCTCCGTGGTTCGGTTATGACAGCTGGTTGTTCGCCTACGGTCGAAAGCGTGTGGGGCAACCGGATACATATAAGCTAAGCTGCTTTTGTGTTTCCTGGTCAAACGCTGAGGTTTGATCGCAAACGAGCGAATAGACTGCTCAGATCTTTGATTCTTTTTGAGCAATGTTATGTTCAAAATGATACGGAGGGACCTCGGGCAGTCATCATATCATTTGTTTCTACGGAACCTGGAATGCCTCCTAGTATTTGATCGCGCAAGGAGGCGGACATGCTTTTCAGGTCTGTAGTCCCTTTTGAGTAGAGAGGCGTCCATAATGGGACATTTTGAGCCCGGATTGGGGTTTTATGTGTTGATCACAGGGGTCAGAATACGCGTTAAATTTCGTAAATTTGCGCCTACAAGCGAGAACGGTGGTCGAACGGCTCGAACGGCCCAGTCGGCCAAGCCCACCTGTCAAACTGTCAAGGAATGCATGCACATATAAGGGGCTCCTGGCCATTCCCCCCGGCAAAGAATACCCTCCGAAATCATTTGAATACTTTCTGGAAGGAGCGGGGGTTCGCCTCGTGGATCTTGGAGAACATCAACATCATTCATGCCACAATCCATACGGTCGTTCGGCCCTCTTGACCACCATCGTCAACCTTGTTGTTTCGGAGACCGTTAGGAACGGATGCCAAACGCCGTTCAATGCACCGACCGAGGAAGCAACCCAACGGGGATTACTCTTGCTCTCGACTCAGTTCTCGCATTGATGCAGTGATCCCTGCCTTGCTTTCGGATCCCGTACTGTCAGTCCATAAATTGGACACCTGTCACTCAAGTTCTCCCGCCAACCTCTTTCCACCGACTCTTTTGTAAGTGGCATTCCTCTGCGAAGAACCCTCAAGCATTCACACAAAGACACATTCATCTAGTGCAACGTCAAAATCAAAAGTAACAACATCCCCCCTCTCCCATCCTCACGATCGACCTCACCTCTCCCAAACCTCCCATCCTCACGGCACCCACGGCCGACCCCACCATTCCGGTTGTCACCAACACCTCTTGAGGACCCCAACACTCCGCTCGATGCACCACCTCGTGCTCCCACCAATGTCAATTTGGTTCTGTCGGAAGAAGACGACCAACAGATCGCCACCCTGTCCCAAACACCTTTCGACCCAGATACCGAAGTACCCATCCACGGGGCTTGCTTGCCCTGAAAGATTTCGTGGTCCGAGACTGGACCAAGGTCACTAGGCCAATCGCCACGATTCTCAACCAAGCCTTGGAAATCCTGACTGATCGGTTTCTTTCCCTCCTAACCGATGGAGCCAAGGCGTATCTGAGGGACGGATGCATCAAAGAGGCTGATCATCTCAACCTTCTCAAATCCAGCGACACCAAGTTCGGTGTCTCCATATTCACGGTCAACGACAAAGCCTACGCGGGGTCTGGAACGCGAACCGACAAAGGAGGCCTGTACAAACGTGGGCAGGAGCATATCAACATCGCCGAAAGTTGCCGACAGCGGCCTGACCAAGCGGCGGCCCCAGCCAAGTATCGTCGGTGCTGTCTCTCTTGGCATCTATACGGTATGTGTATTCCGGTCATTTCCAGAGAATTGTGAACCATGCTCAGACATTGTATATTAGAACAAGAGATGGCAGTATCTTGAACATGAAGTGGCAAAGGAGAGGGAGCTACGGGAGTTGGGGGTGGCAAAGGAGAGGGAGCTACGGGAGTTGGGGCTTGCGAAGGAGAGGGAGCTAAGGGAGAAGGATGTTAAAAGGCTGGAGCTGGAGATCCGGGAGCAAGTAGCGAAAAGCATGCTCAAGTTTGCCGTTGAAGACGGGACGACAGTTGTCTTCCCCGTCGCAACTGTTTTATGTCCAGATCTGCAATTCGTGGCCCACCGATTTCTCTCTCTATTGACCGACAAAGCCAAGGCCTATGTGAAGGACGAATGCGTCGATGAGCACGAGCATCTCGACGAAATGACACCCAGCCACACCAGCATGGGTGTTTACATATTCACCGTCGACCAGAAGAAAGCGTATGCCGGATCAGGCACGGGATCAAAGGGGGGTCTTTACGCGCGTGCCAGGGACCATTTGAGAGCCGAGTACCACAACCTGCCTGGCCAAGGCGAATATCGTCGATACTACAAAGTCACCAACAAGACCAAGCTCGCGGTGTATGTCGTCTTGCACACCGATGGATTGAGCCGAGAAGAGATCATAACGTTCGAATGCTTGGTGCAGGTCCTGGGAACGTTGTACCGCAACCAAAAGATGACAGACTGCAAGAACCGCCTGGGGTTGGGCTGTTGGGCGGACAGGACTTATCGAGGCCTGAATGATACCGTGGCTCTCGGCTACTATGGCACCCGAGAACAGCTTGCGCAGTGGGGGAGTGCCGGGATTCAAAGCCAAAGGCTGATGTATGGTGGGAAGGATGCCTTGACGCGGTTTATGGATAATGAGGACAACCAAGACGATCATGTTGAAATAGCCAAGCGGGCAAAGAAAGTGCAAGCCATTCAAGGATTCGGCATCGACCTCTCCACAACAACGATCTGACTTACTTTCAACGATCCTATCACAGATTGTACGTTTGTTTACCCTATTTCATAAACTTTGTGACTAAGATCCTTTACATAGGCCCCATCATGTCCGACATCATACGAGCCATTGAGGAGCGCGCCCGTGCCCTCATTGCCAGCACGGAAGCGCTGCCGCCGCCCGAAATGCTGGCCTTCGCAATACCCTGATACCAGAGAATACAAGTTATCGCGACCGTATTCAAGAATTAATTGCGCAGCACGGCAGCGCAGTCAGCCCAGGACCGCTATTGCTGATCGCTTCAACACCCATCGCCCACAAATCCCAGCACCTCGACATCCATCGCCACTGCCTCACGTTCCTCTTGGCACATCTCCCCTCTTCGCCAACCTTTGCATCGCCAACACACCCGAAGCCACTACTTTCGACGACGTAGAAAATACAGAGGCGCCGACCGACGAGGTCCCCACT